TTGAGTGGGGACCCATCTCGAATTCAGTTCCCAGAACAGATTTCACGCGCCTGAACGATTTCACGTCATCTCACCGTTTGGAGTAATGCATATAGTGGGAAGAGGAGTCGGAATGACAAAAAGAAATTAATCGGGTTGAATGCAGCCAACAGAAATTGATCTGACAAACAAACAGATGAGAACGTGGAAACGAGATGAATTGTTTTTTGGTACGGCGATTTCACGAGGACAATTACCATAGGCAGCGCAACTTTGGTTGCTTTTGGCCATGGTCAAAATGTTCAAGCCGAAAGGTATAGAAGGGATATTTAACTTGAAAGCCACGCTTGGCATCCACGCATAGATACCCGTTTTAAGAAGACGCATAAAATTCACTTCCGACTAAGATTTAGTCAAAAGACAGAGGAGAAAAGAAAACGGTTTTCAGCCTGGAGGAATCGCATGATTGTGCTCGGAAGATAAGCCATTTAACGGGTGAAAATTTGAGGGGGAAGGGCATGTCGATAGAAGCAAAGAGGCAAGTTCCAGTTCTTCTTTTGAACTGGGTATGGCTCGCAGGGGCGATAACTCCCTCCGCGGAGTGCGTGGCGGTTACTCTGTGACGCGCCAGCACTCAAATTTCACCGGTAACTTCAAAAACTGCTGAGTGCACGCGGCGGAGTTTCCCTTGCTCAGCGAAGCTCCGTGTGGAGGCTGATCCAGTCACGGACCAGCCGTGTTGTGGCACGCGTAGTCAGAGGCCGGCCAGAACTGCCATCACCCGATTCACTCACATGAATAGAAATGCCCTGTAGCAAGAGGTACACAATCGTGCAGTCGGCCCGGACCGTCTTTCGGCTAAATCAAATGCATAGTCTGTAGCGAAACTCAAATGCCGCCTGGACTCAGTCAAGGGAGCACTGGTTACCCTCACACAGAGACAGGTGTAAGGCAGCGCCTCCTCAATAAATGTTTATGATCACGCCGTCTGCAAGCTGACTATGAAGCTTGAACGCCAAACACCAACAGCAACCACGTTCATACTGTCCTGCACCTTCCGAATGATGGTACTCGCACGAGAACTGGATCATTCTAATGCGTACATCTCAGCCCGCAGTGAGAACCTGTTTCTTAGAACAATGACAGCTAAACGAGATCGGTGCGAGTTACGCTTCATTCGCAGGGAACCGTCATGAGAGATCAGGCGCGTGTGCAGTGGCTGAAAGACGACTCTACGCGAGCCACACACGGACTTGGTGCCTACTGCGATTATGGGGCTGTAAAAAGGTTAACTAGGGCCACACACACATCAGTGAGTGCCATAAAGATCACGCTGTGAAGCAGCCACTAAGACGTACCGTGTTACTACCTGAGTGGGAAATCTTCCAGGCAAAGACTATAAATGAGTCGCGATAGGTTCAATCGCGTAAGACTTGGGGCTAGGAGGCCTACGTTGATGTGCTGCGAGGATTGATTTCTCGATGTGAATCCCACTCTTATGCACCAGTGCGCCGCTCGAGCCTGCCAGACAGGTGGTAATTGGATTGGGCACAACTGCTGGTATGGCGTGCAGAGGTACCCCGAAGGCGTGCCAAAACGGCTGAGTTCGCGCTGGCCTAGCGCAGTCCGGTAAACACATACAGTGAGTGACCGATCTCATGAAATGCTGGCTGGAATTCATTGACACATATCATGAGCCAGAGGTGTTCCGCTTTTACCCGGCCCACTTTAAGCACAGCCTGCTGGGTGGGCCATGGACAATCCAGCAGGGTCCAACGAACAAGCCAACCCACCTCCATCCAAGCTCTCTCAGAGGGTTGTGGATAATGAAGTGGCTCCGGATTGGATTCCGGACGTTCGGATCCGTAATTTAACTGGCATGCTGGATATCTATGTGATGTAAATGCCGACCCAACTATGGTGAGGCGACCACGTCGGGACACCGAATTGTGAGTGCATGTCTTAGAGTTTCTCAATCAGGCAGTCGTTACGAGCATGATGGGAGACATGACGTGGACCAACGCCGTCAACGGCCAGCTCCTCAGTGAAAACCTGTCTTCAAGTCCTGGATTGACCTTGTTGTACAACTTATGATTCACGACAGTATAAAGTTGATCAATGCGGAGAACCCATCGACACCCGTCACGCACCTCTTACCTGCATGCACTGTGCCCGAACCCAGCCACCAAACTTTTATTTTCATTAATATATGCATACACAGTAAAAATCGGTAGAATACCACCCAGTATTAATGTTTTCACCTGTCCCACACTTGCTCCCCATACTGGGGACTAATTTAACCTTGAAATGCACGACGGAAGTGAACCAATCAGAAGGCTGGATTTCGTGAATTTTCCGCAGCCGCGAAATTCGAAAGATGCCTTAATCATTGGACTTATTGATCAGCTGTCCGATCGTCAAACCCAACTAGAACAAATCAATAGCGCAGCGTCAGTCCCTGAACAGACTGCACGATGTGTGTGGCGATACGGCCAGCGTGATCATATAACGGTGGTGCACGTCGAAATCCTTGAGTAGGTCGGCTTACAGGGGTGAAAATACCGTGCCAACAATGGTAAGTGATTACTTATACGATGGATTTATGTGCTCGATTCGTAGCTGTTGAAGGTTTAGGGTTATGTAGTATATATACAGTTTCTAGATTATAACATAGTATAAACTGTACTGAGTAACACAGTGCGATATACCGGTCAATAAGTACAAGATGGCAAGAGGCGTAGGCGATTGCTGAGTCCAATGGTAGTTGTCCATTGGTCAGAACCCAACTTGAGTTCGGACGACTCCAAAATTATTTAAACTCAATACCGCCAGGAGACGCCTTCAGCTAAAACATTGATTGTTCTCGTTGGGCCTTATGTTCGTGCAACTGACCGATATGCTCACCGACTAAGCTACAATTTGAAGTTGACGCCTCCACAACTGGGGCGAAATCTGTCAGTCCGATTGGCCCAATGCCACCGTAGATTTCAAGGTAAAGGCTGTTCCAAAGACGGCTAGCAAGCGGTTATTTAATGCAGTATGTTATTACCGACAAAGCCAAGGGAGACTGGAATGGCCATTTCTGGCTTATTATCCACCGTCAGCCAGTCATACCCGACCCCGTAGTGTGGAACATGCGAAGCTCGAACTCGCGACCTGCTAATTAGAAGTCCACGCCTCTAAGCACTGGGCCACGAATCCGTTGCCCTGTCGGTTTCGATCGGGAATATACAATGATAGGGGGCGCTCACCGATCGTTCTTATGGAACGCGTTGGGTATGACTTGCTCACGACGACTAATAAGCCAGAATTGGTCATTCCAGTCTCCCTTGTCTTTGTCGGTGAAACCATTCTGCCTATATCATGCGCCGCTGTGCGGCTGCTGGTTGGGTTTGAGAGAGAGCCCGTAAGGCACACCGGAACGAGTGAGTTCCGTAAGAACAATCGGTGAGCGTCCCCTACCATGGTAATTTAATGGTTTTCTTGTGAAGCCACTTGACTTGTTTCCCAGTTTCATCAGTATGAATTTATTCGCATCAGCTGCCCCCAGTAATATGAAAATGGATTTATTTGATGTATGCAATATAGACGCGTTGTCCTGGCCGGCCGATGCGCAAATCCAGTCTCAAGACCACATTTTTGTACACCCTATGTGATACCGCAAAAAGACAAGGTATTTGACAGAGCGGACAGGATTCGCAGTCAAGAAGGATACCGGGATGTTGCCGAGGGGCAGATCTTTGAGGAGGCACAGTTGAGAGTTGGGTGTCAGTTAATGGATGCTAGGCGTAGTCAATACCTGCGAGCAAGTGGGCAACCTTCCACGACCATCACGTGGGACCCACAACTGGACACCCATACACCACGAAAAGGAATCAAAATCAGCATCACATTTGTCCGGTCGACGCAAATTGCGAAGTGAAGTAGAGGCAAACATTACCTCCGGTGGAATCGGTTGAGATTGCAATACAAATATTCCTAAACCGAACTTAAAATGTACTACGCACTGATTCCCAACTATGCACAACCAAATAAATATACCGAGATAAAGGGGATGAAGAGGAGGAGGAGGAGGAGGTCTGACGTGTGTAAGGACACGTTTTAACACACGCTGATGCAGCCATGTAACGATGTGATGCACTAAAAAGGCGGCTCAAAGCAATTACTAAGATATTTTGAAAAAGTCAACGCTAAAGTACATGCACTCGTCGGCAGCTCCGGCAGCCTAAGACAAACGTCTCGTTGCGTCGTACTGCGAAAATTCGGAAATTTTACGCACCGATGTCATTGGCTCCGGCTCGCACACTGCTGTGGCCGAAATTTGTTCACGAGTGAACCCCTCGTTCGAGCTAACTAGACTGGATAGTCTATTGTTACATGCAGCGCACTTTTATTGGCCAAGGACGGGGTTTGCGCGAATAACTGGGGACTCATTGAAAAGGGGATCAGTGATAATTCCATATAAATGGATGGATGTACTGCCTTGATTGTGGTAAAACAAAAGCAAGGTTAGCATCCACTCGAGAACTCTCTAGCCTTAGGTCAGGGAAAACAGATCAGTACGTGTGTTAACAGGGCAATTTAGAAAGCACTGCTGCTGAACTCGGCGAACTCATGAAGCCGTCTAGGTTGCAATGCCACAAGGCAGGATGAGGTTGAGATGGCAATACAAGCACTCCTAAACGGAAGTTTAAATGTATTACGCGTTGACTCCCAAACATCTGCAACCAGAGTTGCATATCGAGATAAGAGAGGAGGAGGGGAAGGAGGAGGGGGGAGGAGGAGGAAGAAGAAGAAGAAGAAGAAGGAGAGGAGAAGTAGTTGCACTTGTTCGAAGGAGCTCGGACTATCATGTGTATGCACGCGTTACAACAAATTCTGCTGCAGTCATATAATCATACGAGGGAGCAGATGCGTTAAAAAGGCGGTCTAAAGCGATGATTAGAATAGTTCTAAAATGACAACACAGAAGTATATTCACACGTCGGCCTACCCTCGCAGCTGAAACGCTTTTGTAGGAATCACATCCACGCGTCGACTGCCAAACATCTGCAACCAGAGACTATATCGAGACTAGAGACAAGGCGGAGGAGGAGGGAGGAGGAGGAGGAGGAGGAGGAGGAGGAGGAGGAGGAAGAGGAAGAGGGAGGAAGAAGAAGAAGAGAAGAAGTAGCTACATTTGTTCGAAGGAACTCGGCCTATCATGTATAGAGACGCGTTGCAACAAATCCTGGTGCAGTCATATAATCATACGAGGGAGCAGATGCGTTAAAAAGGCGGCCTAAAACGATGATTAGAATAGTTCTAATAAGACAACACTACATGCACACGTCGGCCTGCCCTCGCAGCTGAAACGCTTTTGTGGGAATCACATCCGAGCGCTCCGGACTGTGCTTCCTACGACACACCTCTCGCGCATCACACGACAGAACCTTAGCAACTATGCACACCGATGTCATTAGTTCCAGTTCGCACAGTACTGCAGCCTAAATTGTGCACATGTTCAATCTACCATTCGGCCGATAATTTATCTGCCCTCCGCAAGGAACACCGTCGATTCAGTGTGAGGAGGCCACTTGTGTGTCTTTGGCCACACCTTAATCGGTCACACCCACCCAACTCCACTTGCCGCATAAAGTCGAGAAAATCGTAGCTAGATATGAGCGAATTGGCTGTCGTGTCCGAAAACATTATTCTGTACATCGCACACATGCGCCGGTCACTCAGCCCTCACTAATCAAAATCGGCTCCTTCAGAGATCACAGCAGTGAGAATTTACATGCAAGAAAATTGTCTAGTGCGACGTGGGTCGTAAGGATGCGGGCCCACTTATTTGGCGATGTTTCGACCTCGCTCTCCTAGTAGAGTTTGGATGCAGTAGTCTGCTCGCATACTTTTCGTTACACAGACTACCACCACTAGGCATTATGTTCTATCAAAATGCTCCTGAATTTGGCCTTATAGGGGTTTTCATGCCCGCCAGTGGGTCGTGTGTCCGTGTGCATGAACGCTGTCCCAGAAGTGTGGGACATCCGGGGTTCGATCCTACGACCTATCAGGTCCCGGGATCGAGCAAGGGTGTTCCACACTTTGGGGTTGGGTATGACTGACTGACGACGGCTAACAAGGCAGAAATGGCCATTCCAGTCTCCCTTGTTTTTCTCGGTAATAACATTATATATATAAATGAATATATATATATACATATGAATAACGGAGGTAGTACGCATTTCGAGATGGTATAATAAAAGGGGAAGGCTCGTTGGAAGATCGAGAGGTACTCCTGAATTTTCAATTCGGTCACCCCAACCCGTCGTCAAACGAATAATCGGACTCGATGTTCTCCCAGCGCCCTACTGAGATTATCCTTCTCCCCAGTATACATTTTCTCTGACGACAGGTGGGTGCAGTCGACTTAAAAATTCACGAGTACATCTCGGTCTTCCGACGAGATTTCGCTTTATGTATATTGAAAATAGGTAAGATTTTTTGGGAAGATAATAACCTTTAATGCGTAAATTCTCGAGTCTGGTTCTCCGGCTCGTCGTCAGAATTTTGAGTTATGTACAAAAACAGTTAAATATTTAACCATGTCGAACAAGTGATTCTATTGTTGGCCGAGGCCTGCACCAATGCGCGTCAATGGTTTTGTGTCATCGGCTCGGCGTTGGCTGAGCTCGCTCCCTTTTGTCCTTGAGAAATTTGTATGTGGAATCTAAAACGATATGCCTACTGAGGCATGTCTCATCTGAATGCATTGCCTCCAGGAATTTGCGGTCCTTCCTTACTGGGCAGGTGCCAACAATGCGAGTGTTCTCCCATGCAAATTTGTGTCCAGTGTCCAGTTTGTGAATAGCCACCTGGGATAGTTGACCTCGTCTCTTCACTGCTAACTGATGCTCATGTATGCGGGTAAAGGCAGATTTCCCGGGTTGGCCACAATAGACGGCATCGCAGCTGGAACATGGTATTTTGTAGACAACACCTTTTCTATCAAGATAGCCAACCCTGTCCATAGGGTGTACAAGCTGTGTACGTAAGGTGGTTGTAGGTTGGTGTGCTACTTGTACCTGATGCTTTTTCAGCTGTCTTTCGACGAGTTCAGATACATTTTTCACGTATGGGATAATCCGTCAGGTAAAGTTTTTGGTGTCTGGATGGTCGTATTTTTCGAAATACCTTTCTGTTTAAACTCATGTTTCATGCAATGACGTACAACGTTGCGCGGGTACCCGTTGTGGGAAAATAATTTGAAAAGTTATTTCATTTATGCATGATAACTTTCTTCATCAAAGCAGTGTGATTTGGCCCAGTCTAGCAGGTTGTAGACAGTAACCCTCTTGTGGAAGATAAAATGGCTACTCTCAAAGTGCAGGATAACCTCGGAATATGTTTTTTTTTGCGACAAACTGAAATTTGAAAGGATCCATCAGTTTTTCCGCACACAAGGACATCCAGAAATGGGAATTGCCCATCAACTCGTCGTCAGACATGTACAAAATCCTTGTCGAGCAAATGATTCCGTGATTTGCCGAAGCCTGCACCAATGCGCGTGAATTGTGTTTCATCATTCCCTTCGACTTTGGTTGCGCTCGCTTCTATTGGTCCTTGAGAAATTTTTAAATGACATCTAACTCTATATGCCAACTGATGCACGCTTCATCCGAATGCATTGCTTCCAGGAGTTAACGGCAATAAAGGTTATTTTATTCCCACAGAATCTCACCTATTTAGAATTACATTCCTTGGGATGCCCGCTTTCTAGTATGTATACACATATACATGCAGTAGGTGGGCTAACTCATGAAATATCAACCAAAATTCCGAAATGCGTTTTCGTTTAGAAAAGATTAATTAAGTAGGGTTGTAAAACAAATCGTCTTGCAATATAATTTTGTCAGAACTGAGATACCTCAAGATGCCGGCTTTCGAACAAACTTCTTTTCGGCTGCATGCAGGAACCACACTCTGTAATAAATGACTACTTAAGTAGTATGCATTTTTCTCATTGAGTTTCGATGCCCTTAAAAGTCTATTAGTCTTCAAGGAAATCATGCATAAAAATATTCATTTTTCTACTCATTCAGTTGGAAATCACGTCTTCGTTCCATTTTAATTTAGAAGGAAGGGTTTAATTGGGTTTCAAAAAGTTTCTAATTGTGAGATTTTTTAATACCGTGAAATTGCCGTTCATAAAACGTCATGTCTCTGCATTTAATAATTTTGCTTGCAAATTTAAAAGTATGGCTCAATTCCAC